GAGCTGGAATCACAGCGGCTTCAGGGCAGCAGCAGCAGCACGTGCCGGCCGCCGCCGGGGCTGGGATTTAGGGGCAACCTCTCTGGCCTGGGGGTCAGAAGGGGCGGCGGGAGGGGGGGTTCCAGGACCCCAACTGGCCCTGACGCGCAGCAGCGCTGGGGCGCCTGTCGCCCCAGCGGCCCGGGCCTCGCAGGGCCCCCGTGCTTGCGGGCCTGTCCCCTCCTTGTGGCTCAGAGCTGGCAGTGCGCTCCCCGCCCCCGGTGCCACCAGGCTGGTCCACGGCGCTGCGCTGCTGGGAGACCCTAGGCCGTCACCCCGTCCGCGGCCACTCGGGGAATGCGCTCCCTGACCTTTCCCCAAAGCCACGGAGGGCAGAAGTCAGCTTAGGTGTCTCACTTCGGAACTATTCAAATAGGCAATCAATTTTTATGATGTAATTTATAATTTATGCAGGTTGTCTTCATACATATGGTGTTGCTTTTGTGTGTCGGGCTTTCAGGTGCTTTATTACTCTGACGGTGTGATTTGCATTCACGTTAGGTTACCAGGATCATATTTCTCCTGTTTACACCATAAGGGCCCAAAATGAAGATTAATGCCTCCTCCCTTTGCCTGGGGCTGCTCCCAGTAGACCCCAGACTGCAGCTTCCCCTAGACCCCCAGAGCCTGGCTACCCGAGAGCCCCGGCCCGGAGCCTTGAGCTGCCGGAGAAAGAGGCCCTGACAGCCTGGACCTTGCAGGAAGCTTCGCTGGCACTGCAGAGGGTCCAGACAGGCGGCCTGCTCAGACCGTGTGCTTGAGCAAAGGCCCGAGGTCTCTGGGGACAGAAGCAGAGGCAGGCGTACAGGAGCCTCCCTCCCAGGGAGGCCATGGCTGCGCGTGGGCAGGCCACTTGGCTGCATTGTCACCACAGTATCCCACAATCCGGAGGAGGAGAGCCAGTTGAGGTGGACTCTACTGCGGGGCTGCGGGAAGCCACCTCCAGTTTTCTGGGGAGTGGGGGACAGATAGGATCTGGGAAGGCCCAGGATCAAGGAAGGTGGTGACCAGATCCTGAGGTCCACCAAGTGACCCTCCTGGCTTCCGGCATATCCAGAAGCCCTTGCCAAGGGGGGATAGCAAGAGACTCCGTTTGGGACAGGCCCCAGGGCAGAAGGAGCAGCCCCAGAGGCCCTGTGCTGGGCTTGCCAGACACAGCTGAAATGATTAAGCCAATTAAGCTCGAACAAACAGACGCGAGGCTAAGCGGGCTTTGACCCCGAAGAGAAACCGCGTCTTGGAATGCAGGTGCTCAGGCCAGCTACAGGCCGAGTGGGAACTGCTGGTGCTCAGCCAGCCATAGACTCGGGGTGATCTCGGGAGGCACACCAGCCCCGGAGGGCTCCCACCCCACCCCAGTCCACTCTCTTCAGCTGAAACAGGTCCTGTGGAAGAACCACTCAGGAGGCTGAAGAGTAGGGAGCAAAAGCTGGTTGTAGAAGCATGTGCTAAATCCCAGAAATACCCCCCCGTGGACTGGGGTTGGGGAAGATCCAAGCTCTGGTGGCTCAGGACACCCCAAGGATACCCCCAGCTCCTACAGGGAGGGTGGGAGAGGTTGCTTGGGGCCCAAGACCAATCTCAAGAGGGCTCTGCTCAAGGACTGTGTAGACGTTTTCAGGGTACCCTTGGTTCTCCAAAGGGTGTGTGTGTGTAGGGGGGGAGGTCACTCAACTCCCTGGGGAGCTAGGGTAGAGGGTCCGGGGTAGCCTGGCTGTTCCTTCACCCCCCAGGTTACATACCCCTGCCCACGTTTGGTGGTCGAGGGGTGCCAGCAGCCCCGGGGGGCTCTAGCGGGTGGCTGGGGGGCGCAGGGCCGGGAGCTCCCAAGCGTAATTATTTGATCTGCAGATGTAAGTGGAATTTATTGTAACAACAAATATAGTGATGTCAAAACCCAACCTTGGATTAAAGCCGGCAGCCAAAGGGGAAGTGTATTAATTTCCAACAGCATCTCAGGCCAGAGCCTATTAGAACAAGCTATTCTTCAGACCCCCCCATCAGAATTAATCATTGGGAGTTAATTTGAAGCTCAGACAAGTTGCTGTTAATTTAGTGCAGGGAGGACGGGATGGAATAAAAAGCTGAGGTGCTGGCCGAGCCTCGTGGGTCTCATTAATCAGCCAGCTGAGACGGCCTGGCTTGATTACAATTTGCAAAAAAATTCATTAGGGCCCGGGCGATTGACAATTTTTCTCTCTGCCTGTGATGTGACTCATTAGGCAGCCAAATGAAAGCCATGATGACGGCCATGATGACAGCGGCCATCAAGCGCCGCTTGTTTATCTTCCTCCCCTGGCCTGTCTCTCGGCCTCGGCCTCCGCACCCGGTCTCTGGGCGCCCCGGCATTCAGGGGTTGGGGAGGAGGGGGGCAGCTTCCCGAGAGGGCAGAGGGGCTGGCGGTGGCGCCACCGGCAAGGCTGGGGGAGCCCAGGGGCGAGGGTGTCCTCCTGCATCCAGAGGGCCGGGACCTCACAGCCAGGGAGGGCTGCGCAGCTTGGGTGCCCCCCACCCTCCCCAGGGGGGGGATCCCTGAAGGTAGCCCCCCCCCCCGCTTCTAGGGGGAGTCACTTTCCCCTTTCCCCTTGGTGCAGCCAAGGCTGTGGGCCGCTCTGGGCCTTCCATCCCTACCCTGGGCTTTTGGAGACCTTGGGTACGAGTTACACCTGTTATGGAGTCAGGGTCTCTGGGAAGTGGGCGCCCTCCAGAATCTGCCGCGGGGACCCCGCTCTCAACACCCGGGGTTCTGAATGCAGGCTGGAGGGCCGAGTAGGGGCGCCCCCCGCCCGGGGGGCCACGGCTCCTGGGGCTGGGACCCCGCTGTTCCCCAGAGCGGGGGTGCGGATGCATCCTGCGCGGGGCTGCGGGGCTCAGGTGTGGGTGTGGGTGTGGGTGTGGGTGGGGGAGTGGGACCTGGCGGGGGCGGCGTCTCCGCCAGCCTCAGATGCCCCAGCAGCAAGCGGCCTGGAGCAGGTGCCGCCAACGGGCCATCCTGGCGCGCGCCCCCGCGGGCCCCTGGCGGGGTCGGGGTGGCGCCCTCCCTGCAGCCCGGGCGCCAGGCCGGGTCCCCCCGCAGGCCCCGGGCTCCGCGTGAGGCACAGCACGGAGCCCCCAGGCTCCCCGAGGCCCCCGGAGGCCCGGCCACTGTTTTATGGTGCTCACAGCCCGAGCCTGGGCCGCGTCGGGCCGCTGGAAAGCTCGGGAAGGCGGCGGGCAACGGTGGCTCGGCGGAGAGGGCCCCTCGCTTGCGCCTGAAGTGCGGGCGCAGGCCTGGGCCCCAAGGCCCTCGCCGCGGGGAGGGGGCGGGCTGTAAGCGGGGTCCCCCTCGTGGGGCTGCGCGCCGCTGCCCGGAACCTGCGCCCCTGGCCGGAGGCCGCGGCCCGGGAGCGCCCCGCTCCTCTCCGCCCTCGGGCTGCAGGTGCACGCCCGCTGCGGGCCCCGGAGCACCCCGGAACCCCGGGCCGGTCCACGACAGCCTCCAGCGGGCCGGGCCGCGCGCGTCGGGGTCGGGAACCGAGCGGGCGCGCGGGGCCGCGGGGCGCGCGGGGGCGGGAGTGGGGCGGGGGCCGGGGCACGCGCTTCCCGCGCCCCGGGGCCACCCCGCCGAGCTGCCCCGCTCTCAGGCGCCCTGACGGCCCGGCCTGCATCCCTCTCCCCGACCCCCTTTGTGCCGCCGAGGGCCCCAGAGCCCTTGGGGTGGGGCGGCGGCCGGGTCCCGCCCCTCCGACCCCGCCCGGAGAGGGTTCTGCCCCCGCCGCAGGGTAACGCCCGGAGCCTGACTTAGGGGCGCTCGGCCCAGCTCGGGGCGCGAGCACCGCTCCTTTTCGGACCGGGGATGTTTGGAAGGAAACGCGTTTCCTCCCTGGCTGTGGTCCCTTTAGAGCATCAGGAGTTTGTGAGAAGCCACCAATACCCGCACTCGCTTTCCCTCCTGCGGGCGCCCGCCTCCTCGTCTGGCCCAAGTTCGCCAGCCTCCTAGGTATTGATTAGACCCGTCCAATAGGGGAGATGTCAGCTTTCTAAGATGAAAACGAGGCGCCCTTAAATTTATAACCCAACTAGAGCTCTTGCTCTCCAATTAAAAACCTGGTAAGGTGCAGGGTGGCTCATGTCCAGCCAGCCTGAGAGACCAGGACAGGGGACTTTCATCCAGTCCTGGCCCCAGACCAGCTGCCTGGCCACCCTCTCGCAGTGCCCTCGAAGCAGTCGAATCTGGACACACTTATGACACCCAGAGACTGGCCTTTTTTTTTTTCCTTCTCTCTCTCTTTCCTTTTTATTATTCACAAGACTGCGATTGTTTAAATGTCATAACTTATAAGAAAATAAGCTACATTGAAATAAATTAAACACAACGGAGACGTGCTTCAAACATGGCTCAGATAGGATGTGCAACCCCAGGAAAGAAAGCCAGGCAAAACCAAAGCAAAGCAAATGTCCAGGCTGCCCAAAAACATCTGCTTTTCAGTCAACTAAAAAAACAAACAAAACAAAAAACAAAAAAACCCCACCAAGATAGAAACAAAAATGAGCGTAAACCCTATGGTTTGTTCTTGAGTGTCATGTTTACCTTTGGAAAAGTATGGAAAGGTGGCTGCTATGCGTGGCGGATTACAGCAGAGGTTTTGTTTTCTTCTGGAATGTGAGTGGAGAATATTATTGGGTTGTTTGGTCCTATAACTTTCAAAATACTGCAGCTGAGATCCAGTTTATATAGATATCTATGTACAAAGTAGGATAGTATAATAAATATTTAGTGTGTCTTCGGGTGTAGCTGTAGCCCCTTCAAAAGCAGTCTTTTTAAGCCTTTTTAATGAATATACTCTCAATGTGCTTGGGATGTCCAAAGTTGGGGGGGGGGTGACTTTGAGTTTTGCTTCAAACACAGCAGAGGCCACCGTGGTTCCCTCCAGAGCTGTGGCTTCTCCACGGTGGCCCAGGCCCTGGCTCTCCCTGGGCCCTCAGGGTCGGGCCTGCTCCAGCTGCTGATGCTGACTTCTGATAGCGAACCTGCTGACGTGGACGGGGATGGGGACGACGATCTTGGGGTTCCTGGAGGGCTCCCCTGTCTTGGAATTGGCATTGCCAGCCTTGACTCGTTTCCACTTGGCCCGGCGGTTCTGGAACCAAATTTTCACCTGCACCTCGCTGAGTTTGAGGGCGTGGGCGATCTGCGAGCGCTCGGTCAGCGAGAGGTACTTTTTGCAGTGGAACTCCTTCTCCAGCTCCAGCAGCTGCTCACTGGTGAAGGCAGTCCGCCGCCGCCGGTTCTTGCCCGTGGACGTGGTGCTGCCCGCGGCGCTGCCGCTCGGCGGGGTCTCCTCCAGCGCGTGGCCCGGGTCTTCCTCCTTGTGCGCCGCCTGGCCGGTCAGATTGTCATCCGAGCTGTAGTCCAGATCACTCTCCAGCGAGAAGCTCTCCTCCTTGCCCTTCGGGTCATCTTCCACCTTTGACTCGTCTTTCCCTTGCCCTCTGACAGCCCCTACTGAAAGCAAAACCAAACGGCGTTTTATTACATTTCGCACACTGGCCTTCCTCTCCCCTTCCCACCGTCACTTGGGCCTTTCCCCCCTTAGCGGATTGTCTTTCTATGACATTAACACATTGTGATTTCCTGGCCTTTGAGGGGCAGAGAAGGGGGGGGGCGTGAGAAAGCTCAAAGGAGGGGAGGAGACAGTACAGACGGCGGCCCTTTGCCCAGAACCATCACTCAAGGGGCCGCCAGGCCACGTCTGCATCCTTCCAGCCTCCGGCAGCCTAAGGCCGAAGGAACAGGAGGCGTGAGGCCCAGGAGAGCTTCCTCTTTGTCCCCGGGGTGGGGGCTGGGTGAGGACGGACGGGGAAATTCATGATCCATCTTGCCCCCCCCCTCCACGGTGAAAATTTACTGAACCTCAATGACACCGCAGGCAAAGTGGGGGCATGGGGGACGTACAGATCCCAGGCCGTGTTTTTTTTTTTGGGGGGGGGGAGACAGATAATGTTGGCCGAAGGGAAGTTTTGTAGCCCTAGGAGAAGTTCCCACCAGGAACCCCAACACACCCGCGGACGCACAGCCTCCCGGGAATCCGCTTCTCCGGGGCAAGCAGCAAGCCCAGTGACGGGGTTTAACAGGTCTGGGCGCCCCCGAGCACACGCACCGCTGAGACGCGCAGCCCAGTCCGCTACCCCTAAGGGTTGAAACCTCTCCGGGACCCCAGGTCACGGCGCGCGGGAGGCGGGAGGCGGGATGGGGGGGGGACAGACGCATCCAAAGTCGCCGCCAGACAACTGGTCCCGGGAGCGAAATGCACCCCCAGGCCCCCCTGCCCTAGCTTGTTGCTCGGCCCTAAATGCCCCCCGGAGGCCTCGCGGTGCAGCTCGGCCGCGTCCTCCCGGCTGCTCCGTGGGGGGGGGGGGGCGGGAGGGGGAGGCCCGGGCCGGGGTCGCGCGGGGGCTCGGCCCCAGCGGGAGCCCGGAGCTGGCTCGCCCCCGCCCCCTCCCGCCCCCGCGCCCGGGTCGCGCGCGCCGCCGACTCACCGAGCGACGCCTGCACCGCCTCGGCCGCGGAGAAGGCGAGCAACGAGCCCTCCTTGGCCAGGAAGCCTTTGCCGTCCTCAGGGTCGGCTTGCAGCGCCTCCGCCTTGTCGAAGTTGCCGCCGCCCGGCAGCGGCTGCGGCGCGAACTTGCGGGCGGCCGCCGCCTCCTGGTGCTGGGGAGACGCGGAGAAGCCTCCAGGCAGCGTAGCCATGAGCGTGGAGGTGAGCGCCATGCCCTGCGCCAAGCTGGAGCAGAAGCCGGTGGGCAGGCTGGGGATCTGGTGGTGGGGGTGCGCCGGCGGCAGCGCGGGCTGCAGCGCGGCCTGGGGCAGGGCGGGCGGCGGCGGCGGCGGCGGCGGCAGCACCACCGGCCGGTAGGGCATGAACATGGGGTAGCCGGTGTAGACGAAATGGCCGGGGCTGGGCTGCGGCGGGCTGCCGATCAGCGAGTCTATGCTGAAGGCGGTGCTGCTCCCCAGCGGGCGCTGCATCATCATCAGCGACGGCGGGAACGCTGCGCTCATAGACGCGCTCGGGAGAGGCCAGCGAGGGGCGAAAAGTCCCCGCGCCGCGCCGCTGCCAGGAAGCCCGCCGGGCGCCGGGAGCACAGCCGGGCGCGCCGGGCACGGGCCGGGCGGGACCCGGAACGCAGGCGCCGCCGACCCTCAGTCCTGCGCCGCGTGCATGCCCGGCGGGGGCGCGAGCGGGCGGTGCGCGGGCTGCGGCCGTGCGCCCCGGAGCGGAGAGGCCCCCCCGGGCCCCGCGGGCGCGCCGGACCCGCCGCTTCGCCGCGTCGGAGCCCGCGCGCGCGCCGCGTGTGCCACCCTCGGCCCCGGCTCGCAGCCGTCGGTGCGTCCGTCTGTCGCGTCCGCCGTCCGTCGCCTCCCGCGGGCCGCCGGGGAGCGCGCGGAGCCGGCGCACTTGTCCTCGGCGGGCGCCGCCAGCACCTTTAAATCGCGCTCCTCTTTCTCATTCACATTTTGCCTGCTGCCCGGCCGGGCTCGGCTCACGTGGGGCCGGGCGCCGCCGCCTATTGGCTGCGCCGGGAGGGGGCGGGGCGGAACGAGGCCCCGCCCCCTCCCCGCCGCCGGGCCCGGCCCGGAGCCGGCTGCGGGCGCCACCGGCGGAGCGCGCGGGCCCGGGAGTCGGAGGCTGCGCGCCGGGCCCGCGCCGCGCAAACTTGAAAGGGGCTTTCGGCTCCGAAGCTGCGGCCAGCCTGGTGGAGGGCAGCTTCCGGGGTTACGACCCGCCGCGACCGGGCCCAGGGCGCTTGCTCCCCCACCCCCCCCAAGCGCCTTGGAACCAACCCAGCGTTGGGTGCTGCTGCTGCTGCTGCTGCTGCGCCCGCGGCCCCGCAGAGGTTCCCGGAGTTGGGAGCAAGGTCCTGCCCCTTCGCATCCGCCCCCGGGGCGCTGGTCGGGAGCTGGCAGGTCGCAGCCACGGGCGGGAGCCCTCGGGGCCGCTCGCGGCGCCCCACGCGCGCCCGGGCGGGGGCGGGGAGTGCGCTGGCTCCGCATCCCGACCCGGGCCCCCCTGCGAGCGCTCCCCTTCTCATTTTTCACCGACGTCCGTAATCACCGCACCTATTTACCCACTTTGCCCGCGCGCACCAAAATAACAAGCCACGATAATTATGATAATAGAGCGAGTCCTTTATCTGGCTCCATCCTCGGGGAGGAAGGGGGGGGAGTCGCGGTGCCTCCGGATTGTCTAACGTTGAGATTATCCTGATGAAAGCTTTATGATGTTTGCTCAAATAAAAGCTGCGTTTTGTAAATAGGCGCTAATTAGGCACGTTGAGAACGGAGGGAGCGCTCACCCCGGCGCCGCCGCCCGGTTCCCTGCGCGAGGATTCGAGGGCGCGCGGTTCCCCTTTGCCTGCTGAGGATGGAGCCGGTTCCCTCCAGACAATGGTAAAACGTGAGAATTTGGGAGTCTGGGAACTGGCCGGGGAGGGAGTGGGACCTGGAAGGGTGGGGGAGGGAGGATGCTCATCACCCCTTCTCAATGACAAAAAAGAGAAACTTCCAGTTCTTGGATTCTCCTTTAAAAAAAAAAGGGAAGGAAGGAATCATTCGTGGCGAGGGCAGCCGGTGCAGTGCGCGCCAGCGCGCGCGGGGCTTCCACGCGCCTCCAGGGCCTCGGCTCCAACTCCCCGGGTCTAGACGTTCTCCCGGAGGGGCCGCCGAGCACCTGGCTGGGGGGTGGGTGGGGTGGGAGAGGAGAGCAGGGCATTGTTGTATCAGTCATTAAAAATCAGCTCACGCCGAGGAGCTAGTGGTTGGGGAGTTGGCCCGTGTTGGACGTGTGTTATGTATCACTTACAAGCACATTTAATTGGGAGATAAAGATAAATCGATCTTTATGAATTTATCGACCCTCTTCTTTGAAGCTCTTCTTTCTGGCTCTTCTTCTTCTTTCTCTCGCTCTAACCCCAAGGCCCCCCCGGGGGGGGGACGTCTTAATTCCAGACCACCTCTTCAGCTGCGCAGTCTGGCCGGGAACCCACTGCCCACCCAAAGGGCCCCCGGAGGGAAGCGAGGAGGGTGCATCCCCGGCGCACCCCCCCTCCCCGAGGGATGGGGAACTCGCAGGCCCCGCCGCCAGCCGCCCCGGCCCCGCTCGCCCCCCTCCCCACCCGGACAAAGACGTCTCGAGCGCGCTTCCCCACTCCAGGCCGCAGTAATAGATGGCTCCGGCGGCAGGCGGTTTGAAAGGAATTCATTAGGGCGCTGCTGACTGTACTGCCTGCACTCCCTTCACGCCCAGACCCCGAGGTGGCCTAGGCGGTGCGAGGGGGAACCGCTGGCATCCGCCGGGCAGGAGGTGTCTGTGGGGTCTCTAAGCTCTCTCCCTCCTTCCGCACTCCTACAAAAGAAGAAAAAGAAGAAAAGGAAAAGGAGAGAGGGAGAGGGAGAAGAAGAAAAAAAAAATCGAAGCCTGGGGCAAAAGGCTGATTTCTTTATGAGCATAATAAATACTCCCTCTCATTATGAGATAGTTACAGGCACACAGTCTCTGGTTACCTTGTTTTTTCAATACTAAGGGCAAAAAAAAAAAAAAATTGTTCGACTCCTTGCTTGATTTACGTTGCTACAGCCGGGTCTCTTCGGCGCTTGACACTGGCGTGCCTGTGTAGGCTGTTACTCATTTTACCTAGGCAGCTTTGCCATGCACTTTGCTATTTCGCCATAAAAATATTGTTCTAGGGACTTCCGTCGCCTGATTACCCTCCGAGAGACAGGGATTCCTTTGATTATTTTGGTGATAGTTCTACATTTAAAGTTCAGCAAGAAGATTTAGGTCCGTTGAATTATAGCTACACTTGAAATAATTTGATGGCATATTATTTGCATCCATAAATTGCTGTGGAAAGTATTGACTGCGGGGGTTATAATACTAATCTTCTTTTATTAGTGAGTTCAGAGAATTCTCATCAATATGAATTTTATTTACTAGTGTGCTTTTTCGCGGATGCAACGCAGTAATATTTTCTCATCTAATGCTTAACTGCTCAGAAAACGACTGTTCGCGTCATAAAAGGATTCTTGTGTTTCGCCGTGATTAGCAAGATTCATTCGGGGCACCTCAGCTACCTGCAAAGCGTTCTGAGCGCGGGGACTGCGGGTAATAAAAGCCCTTAGAGTTCTTCCTCGACTCCTCGGAGAGATTGATGGGTAGCGAGCGACAGGTACCTGGTTTATCCAACCTCCGGATTCCTATCTGCTCACCTCGGGACTGTCTCAAACGGCAGAGCCCTTGGGGTGACTCAGCTCGGCCCAGGCTGTGCGGGGGGGAGGGGGGGGGGTCCACCCGGCACAGATCTTTGCAACTTTGCCTTTGGAGGTCCCCCACCCCTAGCTCCCTCAGAGTGGGAAAAAGGAAGGACCCCACTGCAGGCACATCTGGATCCTCCAAACTCTAGTTAACTTCTGGGAACTTTTTTTTTTTCTCCCCCTAGGAAGGCTCCCATGGGGATGAAGTTGGCCCACCCCTTGGGCACTTTTCTCCTCGGCCGGTGCCAAGCTGGTGTCAAGATCGCATTAAGCCACTTAAAACCTCAGACGTCAGTAAAAGTGATGGTAATTAAGTTGTCTTCATGCTTCGGGGCTGTCCCAGTCAACGTTTGCATGCAGGTGTATGGCGGCCGAGTATAAAATGCTAAATGCACAAGTAAATGAATATTCATAAAGCAAACTTGCATTGGCCTGTCGCGTCCAGCCCGGAGGAGGAAGCCCTGCGGACCGCGCGTTTTCTTGCTGCCACCAGGGTGGAGGTCGAGGGCGGTTGTGGACAAGGGGCAGCAGTGGGTGCCCCGGAACTCCATGGGTGCAGAGGAACCCGCAGACCCAACGGGCCGGGTGCTCCCGCCCGCCACCCAGTCCCAGGAGACAGGCTGGTTTCTCTGGCAACCGTGTTGTTTTTATTTATAGAGACTTTGAGTGGCCTGATCATTCGGTCATTGCAGCAGCTCTTGCTCCTGGCAATCGTTGGGAAATAGCTTGGGATGGGTTTTATTTATGGAAGGGCAATTGGGATTCACACCCAGCAAACCCACAACATTCCCTCCCAAGCCCAAGACGCGCTTACAAAGGGGTGCTTGTGTAAAATTCCCCATCAGACACACCAATTTGCAAGTAGCAGAAAGCATTGAAGCCTCATCTTTTTTAACTATTTTATTCAGCCTTTTTTTTTTTTTTAATCTGAAAGCCCAAAATAGACTCCATGTGGTTCTAAGTGAAGTCAGCCCTTGGCTGGCTTTGAAATAGCTCCTGCAATTATGTAAAAGAGCCATTCACTAACAGAACGGAATTAAAAGGGATCTCGCCCGCTTCCCTTTCATTGCCAACCTCTCCTGTTTGGCTTTTCAAAGCACTTCCAACACGATGTCTTTCTCCAGGACAAAAGGCAGAACAAAAAAAGTCCCCAAACTTGTAAATTGAACGTCAAGGGAACTTTAAACAATTTAAAGCCCATAAATAATGATAAAGGGGACTGGCAAAAAAGGCAAACCCATTCAATTAATAGAGTTTCCCAAGCAAAGATCAAGTGGTTTATAAAATGAAAGTCTTTGGTTTCATTATTCTCCTCCTTGACCATGCAGAAAGCAGGACAGGGGGTTTTTCTAAAGCGCCCTGAAGAAGAAGCACTTTGCGGGACTGTGTGTGCTGCGACATTCTTATGGAGAAAGTTTTGCTTTTTATCCCCCACCCTCAAAGTAGCAGAAACAAAACCGCAAACCAGAAACGTGAAGGGGAGGAGACTTTTTTTTTTTTTTTTGCATTTTCTTAGGGGAGTTGGAAAATGTTCCCCGCAGGCCTGAAGGCCCGGAAACCTGACCCTTAACACCTGCGCTAACCCTCCCCACCCCAGTGCAGGGGTGGGGGGTGGGGGACAGGGGGAGCCATGGCTTGGGGGCCTGCGAGCTGTGCCCTCGTGAGATCTAGGGGTCGGGGTCTGGGGTTCCTGCACCGCCCGGGAGTGTGGGGGCTGCCGGCGTGGACACGCTGACCTGCCCCCCCCC